ATTCCAATGCTAGTGAGAAGATAACATCCGAGGCTACAACTTTTGTTAAGAATACAAAGACAAAAAATGTCATTATAGTCACCTTGCATGGCTGACAACATAAAACTTAATATTTCATGCACTAGAATGGAAACTGAACTTATAACTCACATAACTTGATCAATTCTTAACACTTTTACACGATTCTAGTGTCTAAATTATAGTATCAAGTGTCTACTTTCTAACCCAACAAACGAAAATTGATTTGGTTAATCACACAGAAAGATATTACAATAATACTAAGGTACATCCATAAGTAAAATCTTTGAATTCCTCATCAATTCATATAATTAAGGGTGTTCATCAATCTACAAGAACCCTAACTTACAGAGTACATCCCAATGAATTCAATTCTCATATTGATCATCAATTTTACCAAACAATATAATAACAACATATATAGATCAATATAAAACCTAATTAAATCGTTAATTTTTGCTTCAGAAAAGAAATAGAAAAATCTTAGAAATTTAGGGATTTCTCCCACTACCCATTCTCTCTTGTAATCTCACATATGAATCACTTATTTTCCTCCCCGTACCTTGTTATGTTAATCGAAACAGTTTCGTTGTCGTTCATGATTTGATCTTGAGCACTCCTCCTCAGAACTCTCTTCTTCTCTTCTTTTTCTCTCCTAACCAAAATGAGGCAGATAATGTTAACTTTGTCTTACCCCTTTCTTAAAATTCCCTTAGGCTGGATCAACCCAACTTGCTTCTCTTCTCAACCCGATTCTCTTTTCCCAAAATAAATAAATAAATCAATAAATAATATAAAATACTTTTCTTCTTATAATAACAAAACATTTTGACCAAAATATAAATATATAATAATATTATTATTTTAGAAAACAAGGTATTACAAGAACAACATTCGTTATTTTCTTTCCCATAGCTTCTTTGCCTCTTTGATTGCAATCATTCATCGAAAGTAAACATTCTACTAAGATTGACCTTTTACTTATGTAATCATTGCATAATGAGAAAAGTGGTAACAAATCTTGTAACTTCATGCCTCACCAATTCAACCTTGTTTGTATACTTCCTTATGATGTTCAAGGTCAAGAAATGATTGTAAATGTAACCCACGAGTTTGATACCTCTTTGTATTACCCTTTTAACTTTAGGGATCTTTCTAATATCTTCTAGCATCAAGTTAAGGCAATGAGCAATACATGGAATCCAAAATAATTATGGTCTCAATTTGTAAAGTTTTTCCTAAAAAGATCAATAACAAAATAATTAGAATCATTATAACTTATATTATGAGTATAAAATTAAAAACTTCATTGAGGAACAATGATAATTGATTCTTACTTGTCATAACATAATTACTTCCATTATCTGTCACTACTTGAATAACACTTTTTTCTCCAATTTCCTCAACAAAATTATTCAAAACCTCAAACACCTTCTCACCAATCTTGGTATACTCAAAAGCATCCACACTCTTGATGGGGTTATTTTATGGTATTTGTTTGAGAAGATATTTTATGAAGGTTATTTTTATAAGGTTATTACATACACAACTCCACAAATGATAAAATATTATCCGCTTTGGACCTAAACTCTCATGATTTTTACTTTTGATCATTACCAAAAGACTTCTCTATCATTGAAGTATGAATATGTTTTATAAGTTATTATTTTTTCTTTTATGAACTTTGAAAATTGAAACCTTATTTATTATGAGTGCAAATAGCGTGTGCTTACTGTAATATTTTACATCACCATTTACTCAATAATAAATTTGTTAACTTTTATCATAATTATATTAAAAATCATATTCACAATATTTTTGATCGATTAATAATGTAAAAAATTTATAGTGATAGAGCTTAATAATTAAATTCTTTCTTCTACTCAGTGAATGATTGATATGGTACTAATTTCCAAAGGAGTTAATTTATCTAATACCAAAAGTGTGTTGGGTGCCTTCACAACGGAATTGAGGAGCCACCAGGAGGATCAGTAAAGGAGTTTTGATCTCTCACTTTTGTACAAGTTATTCATACACCCAAGAGAAAAATTTCCATCCAATAGCTTTCGAATTAATAGATCCAACTAGCGTAGCGAGAAAGTTGAAGAGAAAATCTCCCTCAGCTTTGGTATACCGTTTTCTTCGATTTTCTCACTATTTCACAAGAGGTTTATACATGAATTGTAACTTATCCAACCTTGATTCACTGTTCTAAGTATTGGTGAGAAAGTGCACACTTACTTAGATTCTCCATTTCCTACGAATACATCTCTGAGAGGAGATTTGGAGATTCCATAACTCCAAAATCTATTTAAAGAAAAACGGTATACGCACAACATTCATCAAATAACGAATTTTCATGGACTTAGAATCATCTTAAGTGTCCAATATATGTTGAGAGGTTGAGTGAACAGTAATGATTATTGATTGATAAATCAAACGGTTGAGAATGAGATTTTAACCATTTTATAATTTGTTGTGCTCATGCCTGTAATTTATTATATCTTTAATCACTCGTAGAATAGGCAGCCCTACCCTTTTTCTACAATTTTCTTTAGCACTTGTTTAGCATATATCTTTCACATGCACAAACTTACTATCCATTTAAGACCAACCTCTTCCAAAAGATGTTTTCATAAACACGAATTCGAAAATCAAATATCTAATCACATACTTATGGGAAAAAATTATTTGTCAACAATGTCATACTACATTTTGTAACCGTTCTAGATATGTCATTCCGTTCCTAGTGGGTTATTTCATTTTCCTCCTTCTCAAAACTCTCTACTCCTCTCTCTTACCCCTTCCACACCACACTCACCGCCACGCTCAAACGCTGCGGTTGACCTCACAATCTTCGCGAACTCGCTCTCGCGCTTTCGCCATTGTTGCTCTTTGTAAGCACCTTCTTCGCACTCTCATAAAAACCTTTTCCGCTTTCTGCTATAACGCTCGTGTTTGTGTTTTGAGCTTGGATTCTTAGGTTTTTCTTCTTGGAACTTTTTCCGCGCTTCTTGATTGTGTTTATCGCTATGCTCGATGATCGATTGTGCAAATACTTTACCTAGTTGAAAATCTGAACATGTTTTCATCATCTCTTGACTGATTACTAATGGTAAACGTGTGTAGATTGCCGTGTGTCGAAACTTGCTTCTGCGTGTGCGTAGTGCTGTCAAATTTTGTGGTGATAGTAACGTGTTTCTTTCTTGTTTTTGTGTTTGGTAAACTGTTTTTGACCTCTCTCACAAGCTCTAAACGAAATTACCTTAATTGAAAACACTAAAGAGAGATGGAGATACACCAAAGGCACTCCAAGACACTCCTAAAAGGCCTTGTACAAATAATGAAAAAAATTTGAAAAATTTACAAAAAATAAAATGCAAATTTACACCAAATGAAATGCAAATTTACACCAAATGAAATGTAAATTCACACCAAATGAAATGAAAATTCACACTAAATGAAAGTAGTGGCTTCACTTAATTTTAAGAAAACAAAATCAGCCACTAATTTAGTGACAAATTTAGAGACGGATTTTACAAGGAAAAATTTTGAGACAAAAAATTTCTGTCTCTAAACTAGTCTCTAGTTTTCACAAAATTTTCTCAAAAACTTTTATTGTGTTCTTCCAATATTTTCCAGCTGCAACAACCTCTCCAAGTATGTCCCTCCTCTATTAGGAATAACCTTGATGTTAGTTATTCCTAGGTGTTTGTTCTGCTACCAAGAGCTTTCCACCAAAGAGAATAGCAATCTCCTAGGCTTCCACAAACACTTCAAGATGCTACCCTTGTACTTGGCTTTCCACACCTTCAAAGAGGCACTCAACACACCTTAAGTTGCTGGAGTTATATAGCAAATACTCAAAAAAGCACAATTAGGAAACGATACACCAAGTGGTAGAGCTTAAATGAGACAAGACTAGAAAGAGTTCCACAAAAGACAAGCTAAAAATAAGGCACCAAAGAAGGTTAGCACACAAAGAGAAAACCTATCGATGACACTATATTAGATTAAAAACTAAAATCTAAGAATATTACAAAACAAATTAAGACTCAATAAAATCAATATGTGGCTGGACAGAAAATTTTGAAGGCAAGCAAACACAAAATTTCAAAACCGAGAGCAAATTGTACATAAAAAATTTAACTCCTTGGCTTTTTCTTGTACTCTTTCTTTATGATTCTTTTTGTAACTTCTTTTGCACCTTTTCTTTTTCTTTTGTACAGGAGTTTAATGCCTTTTGAACATGTTTAAGTCTCAGATTTAATGCAATAAAAATGCTGCCAAATTTTTTTCACAAAACAAGAGGTATACTAGTAAAATTGTTTTTCTAGTGCTTCACAATTTTGTACTATTTTTTTAGGTCAAATTCAAGAACACTTTTCTTTTGTTTTTCCAAGGATTTAAGCACAATTATAACTCTGTTTTACCTCTGTTTTTATGCTTTAAAAAGTGTTACAAGTTTCAGCCACAACACAAAGACTCAAGGAAACCTAATAGGAAGTGTGTTTAACAATTTTCTTGACAAACTTTTTTAGTGTGACATAAAAGAAACCTAACTCTATGAAATTTGCTAGAACTAATAGCAAATTAAGAACTCAAAGATGTAAATCAAAAGCACATTTAGGTAGGTTCAGATTTATAAAGCAAAAAACCACACCAATTAATAGACACAAAACAACAAAAAAATTAAGGTTCAACAAGCTAGTCTAGGATTCAATGACATTCAAAGGACTACACATGACTCTAGACAAAACATATCATTCAAAAACAAAAACATATACTATATGATGTTGTCCAATCATAGAGTCATGTTATAGAATGGAGAAGACTCAAGTAAACACAAAACCCATTAACTTTTTTGTTTCCTGCAACAAATATTCAAGAAAAAGGTAAATATTTGAATGTGTAGTAATAAAAAATTTATACAAGCAATAGTTCAAGGCAAGGAATGATTTTTCAATTATGTGTCAGCATACCTGAGTGACATTCCCGATAGGAGCTGTAACCATGAGTAGGATGGTATCGTCCCTGCCAATTTGAAAAAGGCCCTGAGTCAAAGCAAATATTTCATGCATTGACATGAGAAACTTGTGAAAATATTAAAACAACAAAAGCAAATTCGGTAATTCACATATTTTCTTTTGAATTAATGACAGGCAATTGCTTGTATTTCCACGTCAGGAGTATAGGAAGTGACACTCAATATTTTCCTAGTCAAAGAAATAGAACACATAAGTTTATTAAAAGCATAAAGAATTGAAGCTTATACTCCATTGCTTGAGATACTAGGTTATAATTGTTAACTAGGTTCAAGAATCTTTGGTGTTAATAGGAGGATCTAGAACAAGTTTATTTAAATCCTCATAGAATAAGTAGCTGATTTGATAGTTATTACCTATTCCAGTTAGCCACAAGGCCTGTATGCTCAGGGAGTTGTTGGTGCTTGCTCCAGGCAGCCATGGATCAATATTTTCTTTGTTCCTCTTTCTTCTTATATGGAACATTTTGCCATCTTTAATCCATCTCTCTTTTTCTCTTCCTTTTGCTCAGAAATATCAACTTTACACACAAACACGTCAACTTTCAGTGTTTTGCTCAACAATTTTCCTGATAATAGTATTTTCCAGAATGTATTAGTTGTATAAATATGCATCTGCTATTGCAAATTTTCTTCAAAGCTCATATTTTGAAGCATCTCAAGCATCTAATTAGACACTGTGAACTACAATTTTGGTGACAAATAATGGCAAGTTTTTTAAAAATAGATATGCGAATAAGACAGAATGTGTGGAGATGTCTTGTTTTATTGCAACATATTCAACTATGAAAACATTTTTCAGTACATTAATGCATTTCTCAATTAAAGTGGAATGGACACGTTCCATGTATAAGAGATTCGTTCTCCATTATGCAAACACAAACAAAATATGTAGAAACTTTTATATCTGTTTTAGGAATCAGTGGTAAACTACAAATATTTGTCAAGACATAAATCAGAACAAAGCTTAATATATACTTACTTTTTTGCTACCATAAAATTGCATAATGTTTGTCTAGCTGGTTAGAAATTGTGCCTCGTGAGAAGGGGAAAAAAAAATGGAACATAAGAGGAATATGGTATTTGAATAGAATGAAAAGAAAAAGCAATTATCATGAATTAATTATACTTGGGCTGCTGTAGTGGAGTTTAAATATTTCACCGCTGGAATGTATTTGATTTCCATAATATTTGTGGTTTAGTAGTTCAATTAAAATGGTAAAGATTAAAGACCATTCCCATCAACCATCATGCATCCTTCAAACTTCTCAAGTTCTTGTTTCTAATCAAAATAACTTGCTAGGACTAACAAATAATATAATAGTCTGTATTACTTATATTAGTCTATATAAATATGTTAAAAGTTCTTATAATAATAAGGATCGGAGTGAATATAAAACTCAAATTTACACAACTAATATGTTAGCTGATGCGACTATCCTTATGTACTCTTGGTTGACAGGTTAGACAGCTTTTTTAATGTGTTTTCAATGCAAGTCATCACGTACTATTGATTACAAGCAGATAGACTTCTTAATTGTTTAATTAGTTCAACCCAGGCTGGTTGATAAATTAGAAAAAGTTCACACTCAATGTATTTTGTGATTTGTATAAGTTGTTATAATGGAAATTACAATTTGGTTTTTCATGCGAAGTTCCGAACAAAAAACAAATATAGGACACTTGAATCAATAAAAAATGTCACTGTGTTATACTGTTTGACAAGAACAAGGATTTTTTTTCTTAATGTTGGAGTCTGCTATTAATATTTAGACAGCAAAGGAAATTAATAAGTAATTGGAATACATATTATATTCAAAGATAGAAAGTATATTGTATGTTCAAGAGACAAATTTTGTGATATAACATAGTTTAATTTATAATTTAAGAATTTTATGCATTGTTTGTGGTCATTTTGCATTACTTATACTCACTCATTATATTTCATGTGCTTTGATATTTTATTTAAATTTTCATTAAAATAAAAGAGTACCATAATTAATATAGAGTGTGTAAAGTTGTATAAAATCAAAATATTTCCAAATTCTCCTTTAATTTGAACCTCAAAATATTGATGTCATTTTTTTTTATTTGACAATGATAATTAACTATTGAACTCTCATATTGGTACCAAAATCAATATGAAAGTAAATCAAGTTTTATATATCTCAAACAATTGATTAATTTTTATTGAGTAAATTTTTTAATAATCGACCTATTAATCAAATAGGGTCTTTTAATCGGAAATCAGTTATAAATATCTAATGGTTAATTGTTAAAAATTATAAAAATATTTCAATTAATTATTAAAATTTTAAATAGCATTTACTTAATGTATATTTTAATGGAATTTTTTCATTTTCATTATGATATAATTGTCTAAATTAATTTTATTAATTAAATAATTATTAAAAAAATTATTTTATTTTCATCTGCTTCAACGTATGATATCTATACATATAATTAGATTATATATGTTGAAGTATGGTTTTTAATACAATACTATAAAAAAAATAGCTTGATTATAAAGAAACCTAATTTGAAAAAAATGATTAAAATACAATCCAATAAACATATTATAAAAAAAATATTTTTAATTTTTTTAATTTTATATCAATTTGTATTATGCATGATTTTTTGATAATATAAAATCAATTCAATTTTATATTATTTGACTTGTGATTAAGCAATTTTATGCAAAATTTATTGTATTTATTATTTTACATTAATTTTATTTATTTATTATAACATATGTATAATCATTTAAATTTATATTAAGTTAGTTGTTACGTTATAATAATAACATCAAATTGTCATTTAAAAATTAAAATAACTTTCGTAATATTTATATTTTTTTTTCATATAGAATAAAGTATTTGAAAAGTAAAAGAAAAATCATATTTTTCAGACTTTTTCTATTTACTATTTCAAATTCTTTACAAATTTATCAAATATAAAATTTAATATAAATTTAATTTTTTCAAAATGTTATATTATTTTTCATGAGTTAATATCTTTTTACATTTAAAGATAGAAAGTATATTGTTGCCACACACATTTGCCAAAACAGAAATCATGGTTTCTTTTAAGACTATTTTATCATATTTGTAAGAGTTTAATTTATATTGTGTAATGAGATCTATCCTAAAATAATATTTACCTGGTATTGATTACTAAGCAAAATCTCGGCTCTTCCTATGCAAACAAACTGCAAAATAGAAAAAGACGATTAGTTATTTCTGCAATACGTTTTAATTAACGATACACGAATATTCATTGAAAAGAAATAATATACAAATGAATTTTCTATCGTTACACTTGCAACTAAACAAGTAACCCATGACTTGTTGAATGCAATAACTAAGTTAAACATTTAAAAATATATAAAAAAAAAAAAAAGAAAAAAGAACAAAGCAAGAAAAATACCTGGTGATCATCCTTGGTCCCTAAACCCATCTATCGTCAACTTGAATGCCAGGGATATGGGAAATTTTAGGCCAAATTTGACGGTGCTTCATGAGGCATAGTTTTTGCAGCAAAGGACAATCATAAATTTGTAATTTTATTAGAGAGAGAGGCAACCTTTCACCTGCCATATTCTCCAACTTATGACAACCAACAATTTGTAACTTTTGGAGGGATGTGAGATGGAGAAGCCCCTTGCAGTCCAACGTCTCCAGACTTGACAAGTCAAATAGAAAGAGAGACGTAAGGGAGAGAGGCAACAAACCCTCCTTTGGGAAGGACTTTATGCCATCACACGGACCACAGATGATGAGATCGGTAAGCATGTCCATCGATGGCCATGCTAGGCCGCTCACTAGTTTCTCACAATTGGAAATCCAAATCCTACTCAAGTTAGGTGGCATACCCCCTTCAGGAAATGACTCAATTTCCGGGCAGTTGCTTATTTCAATATGCTCTAACTTTGGAAGAAGAGCACTCATCTGAGTAGGCAACGACTTCAACTTGTTGCAAAACCCAACTCTAAAAGAATTCAAATTGGGCGCAGGAAATCCTTCTCTTGGGAATGAAACAAAGTTAGGGCAATGGCGAATCACAAAATAACTTAGATTCTTAGGTGACTCTGACACTGAAACCAAGAGAGATTCCATATTTTCACACCCATCGATTATGAGTGTTTGGAGATTTGGAAAGGTAATCAATGGAAGAGATGTGAGCGAGTCACAACTGTTGTATACAGTTAGTGATTCTAGCAACTCGTGTTTCTGTTGGGACGGGAACCCTAATTTCTTAATATGATAGATACTCAGAGACTTGAGCGATGCAGGTAAACGACCACCTGGAAATGATATGGCTGAGGAACTATCACTTAATGATAAATAATGGAGAGAAGTTGGTTGGACGTTAGTGATGGCCTCGATCATGGACTCCACCATTGGGCTTCCTTTTACTTCTATAGATTCCACCGAAGGAGGAAACACATCCAACGCTACTTTATTGCTTTTATAAATGTTTAAAGTTTGCAGGACGGGAGCCCTTGGAAGAGTAGACACAAGCTGCTCGCAATTACAAATCTCAAGGCATTCCAGAGCAGGAAGGTGATTTGGCAAATCTCCCCTTAGTTTGCGGCAATCAGATATATTGAGATCCTTAAGGAGAGGAAAAGCACACGACTCAAAAGAACACCACATCTCCCAACAAGGCAGGTCATCAATTCTAAGTGATTCCAATGCTGGCAGGTGATTTGGCAAATCTCCCCGTAGTTTAGGACAATGACTAATAACAAGCCTCCTGAGTGAAGAAAAAGCATCTGACTCAAAGGAACTCCACACTTCCCAACAAGGCATGCTATAAATTTCTAGAAATTCAAGGGAGGGAAAGGATTTCACAGAACAAGAATTTCCATTCTTGTAAAAACCTGCATCAATAGTCTTCACCGAATTCAATCTTGAAATGCAGAGGTCCTTGAGAGATGGTAGTTGCCCAAGCGAAGGAAGCATACAACAATTCTTACAATCATATAACTGTAGATTTGTTATACAGTGGAACAAACAATTTCCCACCCAATCCGGAAATCTAGTTCCTTGATAACCACTTATTGATAGAGATTTCAGCTCTTGGTGAGGTTGTAACTTGCAGAGTACATCTGTTTCAATTTGGAACTGGCTACTATTGTCGTTACATTCAGACCACTCCAAGTATAATCTGTCAATGTACTTCTTATCCATTATCTTGGCCTCCAATGCTTCATCACTTGAGGTAACATTCTCCAAATTTCTAATCGTAAGCGAACCATGGAGGTTTGAAAGTCCTCCCAATTCTTTGATCCCATTCTCTATATTCTTGCCCACAATAAAAAAATCTAATTGTTGTAAGTGGTTTAATTTTCCCATTCCTCTAGGCATCTCTTTTAAAGGAACACCACAAATATCAAGATGACGCAAGTTTACAAGATTCTGCATGCCATTGGGCAACTTAGTCAACTTGGTGCAATCAGACAACTTCAAGGTTTCTAGATTGTACAAATTACACAACGATTCCGGCAATGTAGAAACACTTGTACGAGACAGATTTAAATAACGCAAATGGATTAATTTACCTATTGAATCACGCAAAACATCCAAACTTTGGAAGTCACAGAATGATAAAACTCTCAAGTACAAAAGTTTTGACATTATAATACATGGTGCCTTCTCATTATGGAATGGAGCAACTTCAAAATGGATGATAGACAAGAAAGTTCTCAAAAATTTTACTCCATCAAAGTTGTCCAAGACAGCATGACTGAATTTGGTAAATGACAAATGACGAATCTTGACATCAATCCTGGTTTCTTTTCCCATATCTTCTGATCTCAAATAGAATTCTCGTCCAAGGGATGTTGCTAGGTCATGCATAAGGTCATGCATCACAAAATCATTGTCCCATGTCCCATTTCTTGAATGTTGAAAAAATGATCTTGAAACTAGATAATCAAAATACTCGCAACCAACTTCTTCTAATGATTTTCCTGTTTTTCCTGGCTTTAAAAGATCTTCAGCCATCCACAGTAGGATTAATTCATTTTTCTGAAATTCATAATCCTTAGGATACAATGAACAATAAACAAAACATCGTTTTAGTTGTGGAGGGAGATAATGATAACTAATTCTCAGTGCTGGAATAATGTTACACTCAAGTTCCCAAATATCACTATTTAGTATATCATTCCAATCCCTAGCGTCATGCTTTCTTCTCAACATACCTCCAAGTGATTGTACTGCTAAAGGCAATCCTTTACACTTTTTAACAATGTCCCTTCCAATTTTTTCTAGAGTCATTGAATTCTCACTAGATTCTGGAGTAAAACATGCATGGTTTGCAAACACTAACCAGCAATCCTCATCTGACAATTGATTTAGATGATAAGCTTGAACAGTACGGACTACAGTTGCTTCACTTTCATTACGGGTTGTAACAAGAATTTTACTTCCCTTAATTCCCCGTTGAAGTGGTTTCTTAAGAAGACTCCAATTAACATAATCTTGAATCCAAACATCATCCAAAACAATCAAAAACTTTGTATCTTTCAGTTTGTCCACCAAATCAAGGTGAAGTAAGTTTAGATCATTGATTTTACAAGGTTGTGCAGTAACCGCCTCTAATATAATTTTTGTGACGTTTAGAATATCAAATTCTTCAGAAACACAAACCCATGCTTTAAAATCAAATATCTCCTTCAAACTGTCGTCATTGTACACCAATTGTGTCAAAGTAGTTTTTCCAACCCCACCCATGCCCACAATAGGGATGACAGACACTTCTTCACCATCACTACTATTCTCTAACAACAACTTGATTATGGCCTCCTTGTCATCATCCCTACCATATATGTGAGATCCATCTTCAAGAGATGTTGATGGAACTTTCCATGGTACACTGTTCTCCACTGCAATCTCTTTCAGATCAAGAATCTCCTTGAGTCTTAAAACATTCTCTAATCTGACAACTACGTCTTCCAACTTAGTAATTATCTTCCTATTGGAAAAACGAGAAAAGTTTCTTACCTTCTTTTGGGTGGCAGCTTTGGTAGAAACATGATCGAGCAAGTCATCAGCCTGGTAGACAAGATCTTTGAGAGTAGTGAGCCAGTGGTTGACATTGGAATCTGTGATTTGTTTCTTCTCAGCATCATCAAGCACAGCTCTAACCACCCTCAGAATGGTCTCCAACTGTTGAAGCAACTTGTTGTGAAGCTTGTTTCCACGGATAAAGTTGACAACCTCAGGTGAAGCCAGCCTGTCAAAAAGAACATCAAGGAAGGCAGAGAGGAATGCACCACCTACGACTGCTGCAGCCATGATCTCAAGAACAAGTGATAATGAGAAAGGTAAGGAATTGGATGCAATAAGCTCGGTTGACTTTTTATAAGGTGAATAGATCAGACACTCTGTTTACTTTGACTCAGTCAGTGGTGGTGGGTACCACATCACATGATACAGCTGTATTGGATGCTTTTCTAAAGATTCTTTACATCAACTCACTCACTCCAAGACAAAGGTTAGTGGTGGTTGCTTTCTCAAAATGAAGGATGCTTTCTTTATCTTTCTACATTACAAAATGTTAAATTGATGATTTATGGACCGTTAATTTAAAGTGGGTTATATTTGTAAAATTCTTTAATTACTTTCAAATAACTCTTCAGTTATATAATTTGATAACATAACAGTTCATCATTACAAGTATTAAAAATTATCTATTTTTAATTGTAAATTATTAATTTATTTTATTTTATAAACTCTCAATCATTTTAAACTCCAGAAAAATGCTAAATCTTCCGAATATGATCTTTGAAACATCCTCCGAATTATTCAATTTTTTGAAAAGTCAAATATATATTTTGAGCAACGTTAACTTCTTAACTATTCGGAAAAAATTTGGATACATTATTTCGGACTAAATAACATTACTCTTTTAAACTCACATGATACTTTGCTGCGTATAACCGTTATATTACTATTTCATTATTTGATAATCATATATACTCAGAAAAGTCATGTATTTGAATTAAATTAATAATCCAATGTGTTTCTTTTATTAGATTTAGTATATTATTTTATAATTTTTTTGATTTATCTGATAATAGATAAAAGTATATATTGAAAAAATGTAATTGGTAGGTAGATAATTTACTTTATACAAGATATTTAATACACTACCTTTTCAACGATCTTACATTAAAGTTCAAAATGTAATTGCAAATTCTATTCTACCTTATCATTTTTTCTAAAAGAATTCAACATATTAAAATGTCATTAATTTCTTAAATACTTCCCTTTCTCTCTATACATACATATATACAAATACATACATATATATATATAAGGAACATATCAAATAAGAGGGAATTTATTATGAGAGATGAGAGGGTTAAAATATAACCCTTAGATTAATTTCCTCTCACTTGATTAAACTCCAAATTTTCTCTCACTTGACTAATTTAAGGGTTATATTTTAACCCTCTCATCTCTCATAATAAATTCTCTCTGACTTGATATGCTCCCTCTATATATATATATATATATATATATCGTGATATTTAACTTTTTAAAGTTTAAATAATTTTACTATAAAATTTTTTTATAACATAGAATGATTAAAATGTGATATTAAATAGGAATATAAGTGGGTGTGAGTAATTCACGAATGTGAACTAATTCAAACAGATCTAATGAAATTGGATTGCATTTTTTTAGTGTTAGAACCAAACTTGACTCAATCAAAATTTAACACTATTAGGATTGTGTAAAAGACTTCGCATTTTTAACCCATGACTCAATCTAATTCAATCTTATTTTATTATTTTATTAGAAGTATTTCTTTAATATAATTTTAATTAACATATCAAATATTTGTTCTCATATATTTAGTTTTCCACTTAAAAAAAATTATTTTTGAATGTTATTAAAAATTCATAATTTTTCATTTTAAAATTTATTTTAGTAACATACAACTTTATAAAACATTTTAAATATTATAGTATATATTTGAAGAGAAAAAACACAATTTAGTAGCTTATAAATTTATAAAACATGTATTATGTTATATATCAATTTGGAATATATGCACTATGCAATTGTAAAAAAGAAATTACAAATAAGAGCAATTTGACTTAATTTAAAGTGGTTTCACATTCTAATATAAAAATCGAACCAAATAACATGATTTTGAAAACTTAAAAATCAATCCAAATTAACCATTAATTTGTGATAGAAAATAATACATATTCTCACAAATTTGAATAGGTGCATAAAATGAAAACTAGAATTAATATTTTATAAAAATGATAAAACATCTTCAAAAAAAAATGGACTACTAATTCTTTTTAAATTATATTTTATAATAGGATCGGAGAAATATTCGACTATGTAATAATACAACATTTGATTAATTCAACAATTAAGATCTAACTTCCTCAACAACAAAAATTATGAACTTCTGATTAAAAAAAATCATTATGAGGTAATAGAAGTTGGGCATAAGAGTATCTGCAGTAATAC